ATACAGTTCATTTTGCATCAGATATTAGAATTTGAAGACCCAGCCCAAAGAGGTTAAAAAGCAGTATCCTTCTCTGGTTTCTCTAAGGAGCACTGGATGCAGTGCAGACATGCAGGCCCAGCTACTCCCTGGGCAAGATCTCACCTGTAGCCTGTTTGGTGATACCTGTGATGGCATTTCCTACCCTCAGACATGTGTCCCATGCCTACCATGGCCCAAGTGTCACAGTAGGGGAATAAGGTGTTGTCCTGCCTCCTTTTAGTGTTCTGTCCAGTGAGAATTTGGTTTCTTATTACACTTATTTCCCAAATTATCTGGCTTTTTCCATGGGTAAAATTCTAGTCAGCAACAAATACATTTATTTAGGAGCAAATGCTGCTGCTGCTGCTACTACTGCTATGGTTATTAGTACTGCCACTAGTAATGACAAAAATAATGATTGAATATTAGTAATGATGGGTAACTCTTGTGCCTTGATGTTCTAAGCATTGTCAAGGGCATTTTGCACACATTCAATGCCCAGTGAGAGAGGTACTGTTGTTATTCACATTTTACAGATGAAGAAACTTGAGGCACATAGGATTATGAGACTTGCCCAGGGTCACGTAGCTAATAAATGCAACACTGGAATTTGAACCCTAGTCATTTGGCATCAGCAAGCATGCTTTTAGTTGCTTCTCTGTACTTACTTTGCAACATTCATTGACCACCAAATGCTTAGTTGGGGGGACATAGAGACACATTGACACACTGGACAATTAAGACGTGAAGGCTCACCTACTAGAACTGACCAAGGGCCAAAAATTAGCAGAGAGGATGTAGCCAAGGAGATAGATGGCTCCATGACATAAGTCGAGAACACCAAGGACATATCCACACCATTTGTGGGGTCTGGCGGCAGTGAAGCCAGGCCTCAGTCACAGGCTTCTGTCATCTGATCCTGTGATCTTTCTGCCACCTCAGTATTGCCCAGGATCACGTGAGCCTCTGCCCTGGGCCAACCACACAGAGCTTGGGGTCCTGAGAGGGGACCCAGGGCCTGCAGCAACCCACCTACCTCCTTTCTTAAAGCTCAGAGAGCAAGGACACCAGCATGCCACCATCTCATCCTTCTGGGGAGGGCCTAGCACATAATCATACTCTGCAGGTGGCATGGTGATTCATTTGACTCTGAAAAAACCCTTATGGCAAGAAGTAGCCAAAGCCATAAACATTATTTGCTCTGTAGCATTAGAAAGCTCATGCATTAGAACCTACCCAGAGACAAAAATGAGAGCAGGATGACTTCTGTCTAAATGCTACTCACTGCAGCAGTGTTCATGGGAGCAACTGTTGGAAACAACCCATCTCGGCTTTTGACCTTTACTCCGCATCCCACTCACTGGGGGCTTTTAAAGATACCTTTGCCGGTGCTGAGACTTGCAAGTCAGGGCTCCACTTTTGCCAGTGTGGTGTTGGCAGGACCCACCCAGCTCTCAACCTTACCTCAGCAGGGGCTGCCTGGTAGAAGGAAGACCCTCCTCGATTCATTCTCTCATAATGTAACATCCAGGGTGACCAGGGTACAGCCCAGATTACCCACTACACAGAGCTACACAGAGGAACAAAACAGCCCCTCTGCCCAGGCACCACCTATGAGGTTCTGAGCCAGTTGTCTGGGGTGGAGCCTGGGTATTAGAATATTTCTAGAGCTCTTTACGTGATTATAATATGTGGTCGGGGCTAAGAAGTGCAGACCTTCAGGCCATGCAGTTGGGGGCTGATTCATTTCTTATCCCTCACTGACCCCAGACCCTGCAGCCTTTAGGAAGGTCCACTGTGGACATGCAATGTCTATGGAAGGACTCTTAGGACACAGACTGATTGAGAGAGGCAGGGTGCACATCACACTGCACTCTTGCTGTGGCCTTGTTGAAATAGTGGTGCCCCGTGGACGAGGAGATGGAAAGAATTGCAGAATCCTGACACATCCTTGACTTGTTATTGCATCAGTGTCCTGGGCAAAGCCCTTCTTTAATTTTTATATAACCAAATGCGGTCATAGCATTGTTCATGGAAAAGTTAAGATTAAAAACCCAAGTGCCATCTACTGTTTTCTGCCTGGGGCCCTTTGAAAGCCCATCTCAGCCCTGCCCTCCTGCTCATGCTGGGCCAAGTTGTCCCAGGGAGAGCCGTATCCCTGTAATGTGACCGCATGATGGCTTCGTGAGTTATGGCCCCTTTACCTGCATGATGTGGATAATGCAAAACAGCTCATGGCTAATAAATGTGTCGTGTTTCCCCAATAGGAGATACCTCTGCCTAGTGCATAAATAAGACAAGCCTTTTAAAAAAAGAAATCTGTATTTAAGGACGTGTTTGGCTGTGTTCTTTGCCTCCCATAAAGGTCACCCAGATAGATTTTTCCTTCTTTAGCATTGCAGGCTGTGAAGAACTGGGCATTTCTATTCTCCCTCCATCCAGTGAACCTGGGGGACTAAATTAGATTCTGAAATTGAGTGTGCAGTGGAGTCGGTAAGTTACCATAATGGGAGGGTATTGCTTCTCACCTTGCAAGTAGCGAGGTCATGATAATATGAAGCGAAGTGGATTAAAAATAAAACCAAAGGTATTTATTTATGACCTGCTCAGAATTGGATTGGCATCCGTGTAAGTTGCATCTAATGGTGAAAGACAGCAGATTGATGTTGATATGTCCCTGGGGACTTTTTGCCAGTGAAATTTGCTCCGTGAATTCAATTTAAAAGCCCACAGAAAGTATCCAAAATGCAAAAGGAAATGCAATTGAAGTGGGGGGGGGGTTGGAAACCCAGCAACAGTGAAACAACAATTAGAGGGGAGTCCACGTATGTAACTCTCATGATAGGGGATTAGAAAGTGAGGTTCTGGGACAGCTGCAGGGCCTGAATCAGTGAAGGTGGGATTGGGTTACATGAGGACCACAGACTCTGACGCAGCCAGGAGTTGAGCCCAGGTTGTCTGGCCAGGCTCTGTGCCCACACAGTTCAGCTCATCCTGCTTAGACCCCATGTAGAGAGATTGCCACCCTGATCTACAGATGGAGGGGAGTGCTGCTCAGAGAGTCCAGGACACTTGCCCAAGGTCACACAGAGAGACAGGATATGGACTGCAGGGCCCAGCTACCCTATGGTGCCCCCTCTGTGCCAGTCTTGCAGAGCACAAGAATCTCAGTGGACAAGCAGCCAGTAGCTGCCATAAGCCCAGGAGTGAGTCTCTCTGGGCTTCACCTTTTTGAGGCAGACAGTATGGTAGCCTGAGCTTACTACCCTTTCTATCACTTGCCACCTGCTAGGAGCTGGAGATGGGACCCCCTGACCACCTTCCCGACTTCCTGGACCTAGCTCCTGGAAGGACTTAGAGGTAGAAGAAGTAGGGGAACCTGCAGGTGACCTCAGAAGTCCCTGGGGACAAACTCTGTAGGGCTGGAGTCCATCAGAGCTATGTGGACCCCTCTCTCTAGGAGTCAACCTGGCTTTATGACAGGGAGCCTAGACTTGGGCCAAGCCCTGCAACAGCCATCCCCACATTCTTCTTTGAGACCATCCCTCTCCCCAGAAAGCTGTCCTGGCCACATAGCCCTCTGAACCTACTTCTGCCAAATCCCTCTGGGTATTGGGGTTTCCCGAGACCTACCCTGTCCTTGATGGGCTGTCGGGTGATGGTTGTATGTGGGGGCCATCTGAGTCTCCCCATTGTGCCCCAGGGTCCCTGTGCTTCTCCTTCCCAGCACCTGCCTCAGTTACAGATAAGTCAGTCACTGTCTCTTCAGTGTCCATCTCCCGGCTTCTAAACCATGAGCTGCAGAGACAGCCCCTTTTGTGTCTCATGGGGATGGGTCTCAGCATTCCCACAACCCACCAGAGCTGACACATGACCCAGCTGTGGGTCTGGGTGAAGTAGAGGGGGCTCCAACATGGCCAGCTCCAAAGCAGAGCTCCTCTTTCCTGGAAATACCAAGAATCAAGTGAGTGACAGTTACAAGCTCTACCTGGTGTATGTCCACCCATTGCACCCGCCCAGTGTGTGCCCATTCGGTGAACCAGGTGTGTGCCTGCCTAGTGTGTGTGGTGTGTATATGCCCAGTATGGCCAGTGTGTGCCTGCCTAGTGTGCCCAGTGTGCTAGCTGGGTGCCTGCCCAGTGCATGCCCACCCATTGTCCCCAGTGTCCTTGGTGGGGGCTTGCCCAGTGTATGCCCCCCCAGTGCACTCAGTGTGTGCTTGGTGCGTGCCTACCCGGTACTGGATGTGCGTCTGGCCTCGTGTGCATGTTCTCAGTCTGCCCAGCAACCCCAAGGCCAGTAATGATAGCCCCATTTACAGAAGAGGAAGCTGGGATTCAGAGAGTGGGGAGTCTCTCAGAGGTGGGAGTTGTTGCCCCAGGGAGCTCGACTGGACCTTGAATATGAAGCTAGGTGTGTTGGAGCCCAGCACCGCCCCCACCCCCCAACTAAACCCAGTGTCTTCAGGCATGGGCTTTGATGTGCTCCTGGATTCTTGGGGTGGACCCACACTGGCTCCTTTCTGTGGTTCCTGCACACACATGCCTCAACAGCTAACTATGCTGGTGCCTGGAAGGCTGTGCCAAATGGCAGTTCCAGGGGCAGATGTGCTTTACTTCCCTAATAGAGGCTTTGGGAGAGTGGGAAGCTCCTGGACAGAGGTGGCAATGCTGCAGCCAGGCCCCCAAGAGCCGGGTCTCCCCATGGGGATGCAGGGGTCTCTGCTAAGTGAAGTACTGGGCGGCCCCTGCCTCAGCATCTTCTCAGGTGTCGGACTCGGAGCTGTATAAGAGGCTTTGTGCCTGGCTGCCGGGACGTGGGTGGGGATGTGGGGTCAGGCGTGGGGCCCTGCCAGGGTCTAGTAGGGAGCAGCTACTGGCTGGCTTTCCAGGGTCCCTGCTACAGTGCCCTCTTCTACAGTTGCACTCTCCCCACTGTAGGTCACCTCCTCTGACCTGGGCTTGTCTTTCTCTCCCCAGGAGCTGCTGCTCTTCCTCCAGAACCTGCCCACAGCCCACTGGGACAATGAAGACATCAGCCTGCTGCTGGCTGAGGCCTACCGCCTCAAGTTTGCCTTTGCGGACGCCCCCAATCACTACAAGAAATGAGCCTGGGCCCACTCGCAGCAGGCCCCGCCACCCTGGCAGTGGCACCCACCCACCTGGCTGGCAGCAGGCTCCTTTGAGCTGGTCCTGGGCCAAGGAAAGGCCTTGCAGGGCAGCCACACCCTCTGGGGAGCTTGCCAGGATCAGGCCGCACACTTTGTCTAAGACTGGCAAGGACAGAGGTGACCTCTGTTTCTGAGATACCAAAGATAGCTGGGAGAAGGTCCTGGCTTGAAGGGCCAGAGGTGGGTCAGGATCTCTCTCGCCCTCTCCCTGGAGTGTCCTTGCCAAATGGCCAGCTCCTGCAACCCCAGCCTGAGACGGCCTGGGATGTAGGCTCTCCCAGAGAGGCCTGCTGTCTGGGTGCCAGGGCCAGAGTGAGGTGGTGGCCATCTTACACCTACTTTGAAATGCAAAAATTCTATTCTGTTGAGTGAAAGAGAATAAAATATAGACAAAATCTAGACTAAGTGAGACATTGCACTAACCTGGGATCTCCTTGCTCGTGGGAGCCCCTCACAGCCAGCCGTATTTCTGTAACTGGCCAACCTTCCCACTTTGGTGTGTGTTTTCTTTCTTGGTTTAAACTTGGCTAGTAAGCTGACCTCAAAAGTTTGAGCCGAGAGCCCCACAGAGTGCCTGGGAGGCTGTGGGACAGGAGGCTGAGCAAAGCGAGGCCTCTCGTGATCGCCTTACTTTCCATTTCTAACTAACTTCTTTTAAAAGAGAGAACCCCCCACCCCCCTAGGTTCTGGTCTGATAACCCACTGCGCAGATGGGGGTTGTCCTCAGACAGAGGCCTGGAGGGGCCACACAGGCTGGCGCTGGGATGCAACCAGGCAGGAGTTAATGGCCCTGTAATCAAAGCTTCTCCTCAGGATGTGCTGCCTTTTTCCAGATCTGCTGGGTTAGAGGCACCACTGCTTCTGACTGCTAATTGGTGTCTGGATTTCAAGGGCTGAAGAACCCAGACCTGACCCTGCCTGGGGCTCTGCGGGGTCTGAATTTCTACCCCAGGGCTTTGGAACTTGCTTCCCACCAGTCCCCCATGTGTCACAGGCCACAGCCCACAGTGACATGGACAACCCCATGGGTGGGGCCACAGCCTTCATGGTCAACGACACACTGGTGACCCACTTCTCAGACTCCCCTCTGTTTCTCCTTCAGGAGCAGCCATGGCCTCTGCCAGTCTCTAGGATGCTGCCCGAGGCAGTGGAAGATATAGACATATGTTATGGTTATGTATTCCTGCTTCTATTACAAAAACCAAGGGTCATTACATATGGCACAGAAATTAGCACAAAATACTGTGCAAATGTCAGATACTCCCAAGTCATTGGAGGGACGGACTTGCCTTAGACAGAAGGAGAGCCTTCCCCACGCCTGCTGTCCCACCCCCTCCCCAGGGTCAGGGATCCTTTCAGACCAGATGCCCCACCTCCTCCCCACCTGCTCCTTGGCTAGATGTGGGGGACTCAGTCACAAAAAGAGCCGCCTCCATGGCTCTGAGCAGGAAAACCCATCTCACTTAGCTGAGAGGGAGCCTGGGCTCTTCTGTAGCTCAGATCACACCATGTGGCCAAAACGCTGGGGTCACAAAGGACCTGCCTCTGAGGCAGCTTATTTTTCAAGTAGGAAGCATCCACAGAGTTACATGGAGTCCCACGTGTATTTTCATATGTATGTGAACGCCAAGTCTGAATGTGAGGGGTGTTAACCATAGGCCTTGCATATGAGCAGACTGATCTAGAATGTTCAGGGTGTGCTGTCTGGATGTGATGTGCTAAAAAACCTGGAATAAAAATGCAGTGACAAAGTCGCAGCCTTGGCCCATGATTCGAGGATTTGCTTCTCGAGGACAGGGCACCTTGACCCAGCCCTGCCACAACTGCCAGACAGCCTGAACTCCAGGTTGCCTACAGTGCACCAGGCCGCACCTCTGCTGACCCCTACCAGGCCTTCCAGGGAGGTGAAGGTGCAGCTATGCAGGTGGCACAGGGACGCTGCTTGCCCGGATAGGTAGAAGGGGATCCCTCAAAGCACAGATGCTGTACTGGCTGAACAGCAGAGCATCAGGGTCAGTCCCTTGGTGAGCCCTGCCAGGCTCCCACAAGAGGGACCTCCCCATCGAACCACATCTGTCAAGCACCTGCTGTGAAAAGAGCCCGTGCTGGGGAAGGGGCCTTCTCCTCCCACTCCTGAGACCCAGGACTCCCCCTGCCTCCAAACCCCACCCCTACACTGAAGCACTACCTTTCCCCTGTCATTGAAGCAAGGTCCATCGAGCCTCGGTTTTCCAGGGCAGCTTTGGAGGTGCCCTTCCCCCTTCAGAATACCCCACATCTACACCATACCACACTTGGGACCCTTCCATGGCAGCAGTGTGCTGTCCACTGACCTGCATGGGTGCGATCCACTCCCTATGGGTGGGCTGGTGGCTCCACAGGGTGGGAGCCCATTCACCTCTATTGCCCTTGGCCCAGCACAGGACTAAGCCGGGAGAGCTGTCTACCTGGGCTCCAGGGCCCGGGGCATGGGCCAACCTGGCTGGTGTGCAGCGTGTGGTCTGCACATTGGAGATTAGCTGTCCGTGCAGTCTCCAGGTGTAAGGCTTCAGGCTCTAGGTCACGGCTAGGCAGCTGGTGACTGCCATCACCTGCCTTCACGCTTCCCTGGAGTTCATGGCTTAGCGGTTTGCTCTTTCAGCCCATCTCGGGGTCTTTACAGTGCATACACACCCTGCCCATGCATGTGGCCAGAGCCCCAAGGGCCCTGAGACAGCCCTTAACTGCTGTGACTCCTGTCCCTGAGTGCCTCACCTTGCCCAACTCGCAGGGGAGGCCTGGTCTGTTACCCCCACTGCTGCAGAAAGTGCCAGAGACGACCTATGGCAGCCAGGCCCTGGTGGGGTCCTGGGGAGCAGAGGTGGGGGAGTTCGAGTGGTGTGTGCTTTTGGAAGGACTACTTAGGTGGAAAGTGTGTTTGTGTGGTGTTGCTAGGATGGGTCTAAATGGGTGAAATCCCATCTGTATTTGGGCAAACAACTCCCCAACTCCGTTTAGGACATGGGGATGAGCTAAGGGGCGACAGGACCTGTCTCAGTCTGCACCAAGCCCCGCCAGCCTGTGCCATTCACCTTGAGCTGGAGGCTTCTTGCTGGATCCATGCACCCTGTATTTGGGCTCTCAGGGCACCTGGAGGCGTGGGGCCTCCCCAGAGCCTCCCTGGCCCCTGGCCTCTGCCCCCAGTGCTGTTCCTCTCCCCTCTCAGCCCTGGCCCCTTGGCTTCCCTCCAGTGCTGCACTTCACCCTGTGGGGCCATGGGTGGCTCGGGGTCTGCCCCACTCAGATGTGCCCTTCCACACCCACCTGCAGCCCCTAACATAGAAGATTTGAGACAAATGATGGCCGAGTTAAGTGCACAGCCACTTACATGATGGTGCAAGGATCCAGCCCCTGAGTCCACTTCAATGACAAGATGAGGCTGATTATTCATTTAGGGGAAATAAATTATATGAGGGGGGACCCCAAAATCATGAAATTTTTTGGAGGGTGGTCCCTTATAATACAGGCGGGTGGTCCCTTATAATACAGGTTTCCCCCACTAGGTAAGTGTTTTAGGAACCCATCGGTATCAGTGTTGTTTTGAGAGGCTGCATTCGGCTTCAGTGAATTTTTTTGGGAGATTCTTTCAACCCTTTGGCCATTTCATGAAGGGTGATTTACCAGCGCACCTGCCCCACACCACACTGAGTGTTCAGCAGTTTTTGGCCCGAAATGTCATGAACTCCATGCTTCACCCTCCCTATTCACCAATCTCACCCCAAGTCCTCAAAGTGAAACATTTTGCCAATGTGGAAGAGGTGAAACAAAAAATAGCAGAGCTGGGCTCGGTGGCTCAGCCTGTAATCCCGCGCCTTTGGGAGGCTGAGGTGAGTGGATTGCCTGAGCCCGCGGGTTCGAGACCCACCTGGGCAACTTGGCAAGACCTCATCTCTACAATAAATCAAAAATTAGCTGGGTGTGGTAGCGCGCGCCTGTAGTTCCAGTTACTTGGAAGGCTGAGGCGGAAGGATCGCCGGAGCCCAGCAGGTCAAGGCTGCGGTGGCCGGGAACGGCCACTGCACTGCAGTCTGGGCAACAGAGCGAGACTCCAACTCAAAAAAAAAAAAAAAATAGCAGAAACACTAAAAGGCTTCAAAATTGACGAGTTCACAAGCTGTTTTGAGCAGTGGAAAAAGTCTCGATAGGTGTATTGCATCAAACAGCATACTCTGAAGGTGACTGAAGTTTAAAGATGTAAGAATAAATATGCTTTTTAATCAATAAATTCCAGGTTTTGGGGGTCCCTCCTTGCATACCCAAATAAATTCCAGATGAATGGATGTAAATATAAAAATTAACCCCCCAGTACTAAAAAACACATGACTGTCTTCATCATTGGAAGTGGTTAAGGGCTTTCTGAGCATGATGACAATGGCAAAAGCAATATAGAAAACGACTAAATGACAAAAGCAAACTGCAGTGACCACTGACACTCCAAAACCTCTATAAACAGAAGATACATGACAATCCAGGCAACCTGAGTGAGATAGATTTAAATTCCTTAGTTCATAGAGTTCTTGGAAATCAGTGAAAATGGGCACAAGTACAAAACACAGGCTATTCAAAAAAAGAAGTGGTAAAAGTGACACATCCCTAATAATGAAAGAAATGGAAAAAAGGCACAAGCTCTCTGGGTCCAGTACCAGTACTAGCTGTGTGGTCATAGGCTGTGTTTGTGATATCATGTTAGACAGCAATAGAAAATGAACATCTGAGCCCAAGACCAGTCTGGGCAATATGGTGAGACCTTGTTTCTACAATAAATAAAAAAGTAGCGCATGCCTGTAGCTCTGGCTACTTGGAAGCTGAAGCAGAAGGATCGCCAGAGCCTAGCAGGTCAAGGCTGTGGTGGCCATGAGCATGCCACTGCACTCCAGCCTAGGCAACAGAGACTCCAACTCAGAAGAAAAAAGTAAACGAACACACTCTTTGTTTTCTTCTGAAGTTTTTGCAATGATTTTTTTTTGTTTTTACGATTAAACTGTGAAGTATAACACTAACAAAAGACAGCAGTACTCAAAACTGTCTCTCCACGGGTTTACCACAAGGCAAACACCCACATAATCACAATCCAGGACAAGAAATAGAACATGGCCCAGCCCTGGTTCTCCCTGTGTGCTTTCTCCTTCCCAAGGACATACTACCCTGACTTCTAAAGTGTACTTCAGTTTTGCTTACTTTTATGTTTTTTATATAAATGGAGTTACACAGTATATACTCTTTTGTGAATAACTTCTTTTGCTCAACTTTCTGTTAGTGGGCATCTCCAGTTGGTTGTAATTGTGGTTCCTTCTTTTCCATTGCTGTTTAGTTTTCCATCATATGAGGAGACCACAGTTTGTCCCTTCTACTGCTGATGCACATTGAGGATGTGTCCCATTTGGGGCTATTATAAATAATGCTGCTCTGGACTGGGCACAGTGACTCACCCCTGTAATCCTAACACTTTGGGAGGCCAAGGCGAGAGGATTGCTTGAGTCCAGGATTTCGAGACCAGCCTGCCTGGGAAACATAGCGAGATCTTGTCTCTACAAAAAATTTTTTACAAAAATCAACCTGGTGTGGTGGTATGTGGCAGTAGTCGCAGCTACTGTCGAGGATGAGATAGGAGGAGCACCTATGCCCAGGAGGTCGAGGCTGTGGTGAGCCATGATTGTGCCACTGCGCTCCATCCTGGGTGACAGACCGAAACTCCAGCTCAAAAATAATAATAATGCTCTGAACCTGAATGCGTGCATGTTTCAGTGGACACATGCCTATGTGTTTATACAGAAGTGGAACTGCAGGGCCATATGGTATGCTTCTTTCACACTAACAGATAATGACAAACTATTTTCCAAAGCAGTTTTTTCAGGTTTCATTTCTCCACATCCCCCTGTCCCCACACTTTGTGTGGTCCATCTTAGCCATTCTAGTAGCTGTGCCTTGTTATCTCTGTAACGTGCCCTCTCCTGCTCAGAGAGTTGCACCCGTGGCCTCCCTTGCAACTCCCCTGGCCATGCAGCATCTATTTCCTACTTGCTGCAGACAAAACAGACAGAAAGAGACCTGCTTGGGATATCTTGTTATGCTATTTATCATAAGCATTTTCTCATGTCATTAAAATTCTTCAAAAACATGATTTTAATGACTGCATGATATGCAGTTGCATGGATTAACATAATTCATTTATTTCCTTATTATATATCGAGTTGCTTCTATTTTTTTCCACTATTGCAAATGATGC